ATCCTCTCTCTATCTCTATCTATCTATCTATCTATCTATCTATCTATCTATCTATCTATCTATCTATCTATCTATCTATCTATCTATCTATATATATATATATATATATATATATATATATATATATCTGTCTATCTATCTATATCTATCTATCTATCTATCTATCTATCTATCTATCAAATATCTATCTATCTATCTATCTATCTATCCCAGTCCCGTGACCTTGGTATGGCGGTGTTGCTTATTCTGTGAGCTTCTCCGTGCCACTACCTGGCGAGGACTCTCCTACCAGACTTTTTCCCAAAGCTTGTGTGACCAAAGGGCCGCCATTTTCCTTACTCATCAGAAGCAGGAGGGACAGGTCCATGGACAAAGATGACCCACCGCCGGTCAATACGTCACGACAGATGCCAAAACAAAGTCGAGATGACCACGAAAGAAGACTTAAGACGTTGACAACTAACAAGATGACCAGGAAGGCGAGCACGGCGGTCAGCAGAGCGTGGTAGCCCAACAACAGGTCGCCCATTTGGGTACGTCCGGGTTCTGTCCTGTTTTCATTGCCTGCGCTAGGATCAACAGTGGCTTCAGGGGCAGTGTATGTGTCGTAATTGAACAGACATTGGAAAGACCACGTTTGAATGTTGAATTTGAACTTGCGAACTTCGAACAGGCAAAGGAGAACTATATCGTTCTCGTACTCGAACATAACTTCAGGAGTGACCTTGGGAGAAAAGGTCAAACTAGAGGTCAAAATGTTCTGCTCAGAAAATTCGTCGTTCTTCTCCTTCAGGCGGTTCACTTCCGGAAGAAGCACCGAGCCCAGAACAGTCAGTTCTCCGACAACCACCACACACAGCAGCAGTTTGAAGAACAGATAGGACAAACCAAGACAACGAGACGACTTCGCTGCTCCTGTAACGGCACGACAGAGGTCAGAGTTCAACCTCTCACGACTGTCCGTATCTAGAGACAACCCCCCACGAGCCGTAACCAAAGTCTGATCAACGTCGATGCCTCCACATCCGGACATCAAGCACCAAAGGACATGCGGCAGCTTCAGGAAAATTGCGAAGAAGAAAAATACTAAAGGAATAGTGACAGCCGTGAAAAAATACGTGTCCTTTCGCAGATATGTCCTTGTTTTATCATCTCCCCTTACACGTCGTGTTTCTGGCTTAGACGTACTTGACCCTTGCGATGTTTGTTCCTTCCGCTTCGGTTGGAAAGGAACAAGTTGTTGTGGTTCGTCAATGGGAGTATCGGGATCTTCCGGAACTCTGTACACCGACACGTTCTCCCCACCACCTCGGTACACGGAATTCACAAAGGAGGCGCATACACCATTAGCATAGTCCACATAGGCACTTGTAAACTCTGCTGGAACCCAACACACCGCTTTATATGTTGGGGGCCCGGGTTCAAACCTTCGATTCATCGCCTTCAAGGCCTCATCAGCCGGAAACTGTGTAGATCTGGAGTTTTCCACCAGGGAACTGAAGGCCGGACTGAAGGGAAGTAGCCAGGTGATGAGGGATAGGACCAGCAGTAAGACCACAGACCAGATGTGGTTGTAGCGATCCACGGAGTCCTCCGACAGGGAACGCCGAGCCAGCTTCATGGCTGTGATGTCAAGGACGACTTGTGGACACCTGTTGAGTACAACGAATACATAATTATGTGTCGCAGCATGATAGAACTAGGCACTTGTCAATTTTAGGGCATATATGGAATTTTTTTTCTTCCAAATAAATTAAATAGCAGTGTCAACATTGCCAAGATCATCAGATCAAAGATCAGACTGATGCGTTCCCCGGTCAAGTCAGTATGTTTGTCTGCGTGTGAAACCTGGACCTTCAATGCAGACCTTGAAAGAAGGATCAAATCTGTGGAGATGAGATGCTTCCGAAAAATCCTTTGTATCTAATACAAAGATCACACCACAAATGATGCAGTCAAACAACGAATCCAAAATGACATTTGACCATATGTTGACTTTCTCACTCTGGTCAGGAAACGCAAACTACAATGGTATGGACACATCACCCGTTCATCCGTCCTTGCCAAGATGATCCTGAACGGCAGTGTCCATGGAAAAAGGAGCAGAGGCAGACTGAAGAAGAGTTGGGAGGACAACATCAAGGAATGGACAGGCCTGGAACTCAAAGACACTCTCAGGAAAGCTGAAGACCGGAATGTGTGGAGGAAGCCGGAGGTCAAATCTTTAAAAGCGCCCCGACGGACATCTAGTCTACGGGATAAATGAAGGTGAAGGTGAAGAAATTAAAACGTGTTTATTTCTCTTGGATTTGGTGAAAAAATGTAATGGTATATTTTGTGTAAAGGTTGAGATAAGTGCGTTTGAAAAAGCAGGGGTTACTTGGTGTTACATGTCGTTAAATTAACGAGGTAATGGCCGCCAAAGTCTTGTGACTTTTAAAATTGAATACCCGTACTCGTTCTACAAACATATATTTTGTTTCAAACCATATATTTTTCGAATGCATTCACTCTAACACGTGTAATTTAATGACTTAATGACATGCAGACGGCTCCTAAGCACCCCCCCCCCCCAAGATCATTTAATAACAATTGTCCAACTTTTAGAAAGAAACTGATTCCACTGTGATGATCCACACATGTACAAACGTATTTTGACCCTCAACTAAAATAACTACAACGTTTGGTGGTGTAGGTGGTGGTGGTGGCGGTAGTGGTAGTGGAAGTGGAAGTGGTAGTAGTAGTAGTAGTAGTAGTAGTAGTAGTAGTAGTAGTAGTAGTAGTAGTAGTAGTAGTAGTAGTAGTAGTAGTAGTAGTAGCAGCAGCAGCAGCAGCAGTAGTAGTAGTAGTAGTAGTAGTAGTAGTAGTAGTAGTAGTAGTAGTAGTAGTAGTAGTAGTAGTGGTAGTGGTAGTGGTAGTAGTATCATCATTATTATTACTATTATTGTTGTTGTTGTTGTTGTTGTTGACGTTGTTGTTTACCGTGGTAGCCTACCATGTACCATGAGGCTCTAGATGTGCAAGAGGCTTCAATGGCATGGTAGGCTACTATTGCATCTACATTGAAACTATCACCATTACTTTGGAATATATTCAAAGGACAGGACCACATCAGCCGACTCCACGACTCCACTACCGCAGTTCAGCACGTTATTACACGCCATGCACGGTTATGTTATGAATAAAGTGTAAGCCTGCTTTACAGAGGCCTCAGTAAAAACATAATAATCAGCACTTAGTATAAAAATAATTGGCGTTTTGTGATTTCCACAATAATGTGTGACACTTACCGCTGATGTGACTCCATATTATCGTGCTCTGTGGTTAGAGTCTCTCTCTCTCTCTCTCTCTCTCTCTCTCTCTCTCTCTCTCTCTCTCTCT